CTGCTTCCTTCGGCTTTTCCCTTTTCAGAAGTCACCACAGCGAATCATCTTCCTTATTTCCTCTTAGGCCTTCGTCAGACCTACGCCTCACTTCCTCCAAGACCACCCCTACTCCATTTCTCTTTCTATCCACACCCTGATAAAACAGTTTGAACCCAGCACCACTGATGCGAGCCTTGCTGCTCTTCCACTTGGTCTCTTTGACACCTCAACCGTTTACCTTCCTTCTCTGCATCATGTCAGCAGCTCTCTGTCAGCAGCTCTCTACCTTTGCCTGTCTGTTCAGTACGTTTGTTATCAATTTACCTCTGTCCCTCGCCCGCTTAGTGAGTGACTGTCTGCCATCTTCCTCTTCCCACACAGCGAGCTGTTCCAACAATACCTCCAGCTGACTCCCTCTGTCAGGTTGACTCAAACTGTCATTGAACTTGAAATAAGTGGTGGAGAGGCAGAGATCCAACAGGGTGCAGATCTGGTCTGGGATGAAGTTGGTCCTGTTGACATGACAGTTTTTACAGACAGAAGCACGGCTGTGCCATGGGATCTCCACTGTCACCCATTGTTGCCAATCTCTACATGGAGGAAGTGGAACAGAGAGCCCTAAACTCCTATGAGGGAACAACGCCAAGCCATTGGTTCCGTTATGTGGATGACACTTGGGTCAAAATCCAAGCCAAGGAAATAGAAGCGTTCACCAGACACATCAACTCGGTCGATAGCAACATCAAGTTCACCAGAGAGGATGCAAACGACAACAAGCTGCCTTTTTTGGACTGTGGTTCAAATGGAGAGAGAGGACAGCCTCAACATTGAAGTTTACAGAAAACCAACCCACACAGACCAGTATCTTCTGTTTGACTCCCACCATCCACTGGAACACAAACTCTCTGTCATCAGAACTTTACAACATCGGTCCGAATGCGTCCCCACGAAGACAGAAGGTAAGGAAACGGAACAGAAACACATTCAAGAAGCTCTTCAAACATGTGGATATCCTAACTGTGCTTTTGTCAAGTCAGCGAGGAAATCTACAAAACACACTAATAAACAGAAAAAGGAGAACAACAGACGTAAAAACATTGTCATCCCTTATGTTGCTGGAGTATCAGAGAAATTCAGAAGGATCTTCAACAAACACAAGATCCC